TATCGAGCAGCCAATGCCTGGTCTCCTTTGACGCAGATCAATCGATGACGTGCAAGCAACATGCATGGTGCTGCCTTCGTCAAAGACATCACTAGAAGACATCACTAGCATAAGATAATATCGATATAGATTAGCCACTGCTACGCTACATCCAGCAATGTATGAGATGTGACTGCAATGTACCGGTACGTGTATGGTGTGGCACCGCGCAGAGTTGCCAGGTCTCGATCGTGTGGCGGTTGGTACTGTCACATCGCTCTGCCACGTCACGACTGGAATTGAAAAGCTGTTTTGATTGGCCAAATCAGAAACGCGATCTATTCAACCTATCAGACATCGTTCCTTGTTTGTCGGCCGCACACTGGCCGCACGGTGTACGCCTGGAGGAGCAATCTCGCAGCAGCGGATACACTTTGTGCGATACATTGTCCCACCCGACGATCGGTCACATTCTTATTTGGCATTTGCAAATAGGCTCAGCCGGCGCGAAGGCCTGTCAGGTCATACCATCTGCATCCCTTGCGAAAGGGTGGCGATGGCGGCATATAGACCTGTCATTGTTCAACGGGTAAAAATAAAGGAGAGCAGTCAGCGCAAGTCCCGGCTGCACCCAGCGCCGAGTACACGGTTGTCAACACGGCCGACCTCCAGAGCAACCAGGACCTCTTTGTAGCCGAGGTCTCGGAGCTCGTCATGGGTCGACGGTGGTCGCGACTGTGCTCCTCCGCTCGAATCGGAGGAGAAAAGAGGTGGTCCAGGACCGCTCTTACGAGCACAAGACTCCAAGCGCCGATTCCTCGAGGAGGTTGGCGCTAAGCACAGACGACTATATGATTGGCGCACCAAAGGGTATCGTGTGCGCGACGATGTGCCAGGCCAAAACATCATTGGGCTCAAATGCGGCGGCATGTACTGCGTCAACTGCTGAAAAGGCTACTTGATGAGCCGCCCCAGAGCGTGGTGTACCAAGCCAACTACCTTGATACCGCGACAACGAACAACGAGGTCGAGTACGACAGTCTGGTCACGGCGCTCCAGTTAGCTCAGCGACTGGCAGTGACGCATCTCACAGTGCGCGGCGACAGCATGCTGCTGATGCAGCAGATGAAGGGCATCTATCGAGTCCAAGAGGCTCGCTTGCAGAAGTTGCATGTCCAGGCGCGGGAGCTCGCAACATGTTTTACGTGCACATGGGAACACCACCCTCGCGAGTTCAACCGAGCCACGGATCATTTGTCCAAGCTCGCACCCGACGACTGCACCTCGTACGCGCATCCCGACGACGGACGGCACGATGTATTGCCGGCCGAAGAACTCCTGCACGTTGAAGAGCTTTTGGCGGCCGACGGTCAACACACAGCTAGTACGTAAGTCTTAGTAGGTGGAGTCTTTAGTCTGTATAAAGATTTCAATCCACATCATAGCATATCATATCAAGCCTACTTGATGACCAAGCTCGAAAACGGGTCGAACGGCCGCCTGAGCCGCGTACAAGTGCAACAAACTCGTGCTGGGTGCGCTCTTCCGAAAGCGCCCGGCAAGTGGGCGCTACGGTTCTTTGTTGATATGAGCCAGAACGTCAAGTGGTGCCCCGCGCCGGGTGCCCGAACGCGATCTGTCGGGCGACCACCTCTTTGTGGCCTGCGCCTGCAAATTTTGCCTCCGCTGCAGCGAAGAAATCCACCTCCTCGTGACTGCGACCAGCTCCGCCTATGGAGTCGGAGACGGCCAAGAGGATGTTCGTCAGCACAAAGACGTGCCTCAACACCACAACCTCGTCATTGACGGCCATGTCGTCCGCGTCTTTGCGGAGCGCAACCCGGCGCAGATCCGAGGATGTTCGTCAGCACAAAGACGTGCCTCAACACCAAGTGCTCGGTGCGCATCGAGAAGAACCAGGGCTGTACGACGAGAGTTTTGCTGGATCGGCGTGGTCGTGGTAGTCGCACTTTTCAGGCGACCAACAGCAATTACAGCCGCTTCAACGCGTCGACTTTGCACAACTCGGGCGTGTCACGCGCCAAGACGGAGATCGCGGCTTGAAGATTGCAATCATCGCTCGGACCCGAGACGAGGCCGAGGGTCGTCTGGTCGCCTGGCGATTCCAATTGCACAATAAAGCGAAGATGCTCGCAAGCAGCTTGAGAATGCGTCGAGTGAAAGGACCTCGTCGGAAGCCCGATTGGAGCTGTCCTTCGAGCACGA